TAATTCTTATGAAGTTATGCACAATGATAGAGTCTACAATATTATTATTTCATTTTTTTGTAATTGCTTCAACGGTACGCAAAAGTCTGGAAATATAATCCAAAGTGTCATTTTTTTTCTCAAAGTTGAATTATTGTGGAAATTTGGTCTTTGCCTGTAGATTTAGTCATAAAATAATTTTAAGATATAAGCGAATTAAAAGTTAGTTGTATGATTTAGATGTTATAGTTGTTGAATTGTTTAACACAATATATATTTTCTAACTAATAAAGTATATGATAATAGGGGAAGAAATATGTGCAAAAATATGAAGAAATTGAGGGAAGAAGGGGTGGAAGTACGTTACTAACGTACGTAGGTACTATCCTTAAGAAAACGTACGCTACGTACAGGTCCAATTTGGATCCGGTTTGGAGGTTAGGGAGTTCTTTTAAAGATAAATATAATGGTGGTAAATAATGGGTCCACCTAATTTAATAAAAATTAATGTCTAGATGTTTTCTTTTTCTTAAAAATTTTAAAAATTTCTCTAATTTATTATAGTGACACGTGGCATCGTAGTACATAGAGTTTGCAGGATACCACGTGGTGGCTTAGAAATGTTTGTTATATAATAGATCTAACTTAATTTGTTTATGTATATTCTGTGAATTGATATATGATCGTGTAATCTACATTATCAATTTTTACCTATTTTATATGACAGTTTTACGTGATATGCAAAGTTTAGGATGTGATAAAAAAATTAAATATTTCATATAGGTTAAAGAACACCTTATATTTTTTAATTGTTGATAGACAACATGCAAATAACTATAGAAAAAATATGGTTATTTAAGATTTATTATTGTTTAAAAATTTTTATAACTAAAGAAAAAAAAGAAGAAGAGATTGGATAGGAGGGGAGGGAGACCGTACCTACGTACGTACGAACTTGAGTTGTTCGTCCGGTTGAAGGATGGGCCCATGGGGAGAGAAGAGGGGAGGAAAGTTTGTGGGGCTATTTTTTTTAATAAAATTCTAATAGATAAAAATATTAGGCCCACCGGTTTGTTAAGATGCCATGTGGCGGTTTAGAAGTATTTGTAGGAGTACACATGGCGGCTTAGGAGCGTTTGTAGGAAGTTTCATAGACTTTTAGTATATAATAGATAATAGATTTCAATTTTTTAAGTTTATTTATAATTAGTTTTGAAACCAAATTTCGGAAATTATTTTATTTTTGTTCAGAATTTTAGTTACTCTTACTTTTGGATATTTATATATTGCATTATACTATATACAATTCTTCATATGCGGCATTTACTTTTTTGAATTTTTATGTTATTTTTTCCGAATTTTAGTGATATTTTAATTTTATTTGGAGTTAGAATTAATAATATTCTTTTATAATTTTTTTAATTATGAATTTTAATTAATCTTGTGTTGGGTTCTATGTGGAATATTCTTCCAAAATTCCTTATACTTTATTTCAAACTTTTTATTATTTGTAAATTGTATTCCTTCTTGAACTCTCATTTTTATTTTTCCAATTTTAGAATTTATTTTATTTTTTATTCCAAAATTTAATACTCGTGTTATGTTCTAAATGATCTCTTCTTTCAATTCTCCTTAATTATTATTTTAAATTGATTATTTCTAAGCCTCTAAAGTGTCTGAAGTGACCATGGTATCTTATTTTCGAGTTATTTTGAACTGCATGTCTTCAAAATGTATGGTTCATGGATTATTGCTTTGGGTTAGGGCATGTTATTTATTAACACTTCGCTTTTTAACTAACCAATATCATGTACAAAAATAAAAATGGAAGTATTTCTTTAAAAACAAAAAATGACAAATATAGGCTTTGTTGCATTTATAATTAGAAATTTGAAAGCAAAAATGAACCATCTATATAAACCACACGTATATTTGAAAAGTAGCATGTGCTAGTCAATAAAAACTTTTTGTAATTATATTAGTGAATGAATAGGATTACTGCCAGTCACTTTTAGATTGAATCCGATATCAGTAGGACTTTTCATGTCTGGTTGCTGACCGTCTTAGCTAGGGTTCCAAAAAGAACTTGTCCCCTGTTGCCGTCCGGTTTTGTTCGGCTGGGAGTCTGACTCCGGACATGATTATCTAGCTCTTTTACAAAATCTAAGTAGGATATATGTACTGCGTAGTACTTTTTTTCTTTTCTTATAAATATACGATCAATCTTAGCTATTACAGTATAGACTCACTATAATCAAACAGTTAAGATTTTTTTCTTTTTCTCCGATAAATGTAAGAATTTCTAGTCTCCACAGCAAATGTGGTGTCTCTTTTCAAAGCTTTCTTAGATAGATATATTATATTTACATACAACTATATCGATCAATATATGTTGTTATTATCTAAACCCATCACGATGTATAGATTAAGATATTTTTTTCTCGGATTATTAATGTGAGAATTTACGAACGAACATAATGTCTTCTTTAATACATATCTAACAGTAAATAATCTATATAGTGAATAGCTGCACAAATATGTAGGTAGAAGAAAAACAATTGACAACATATGATATGTTACTCGTACTAATATGTGATCATTCATGTGTAGTTATGCCGCATGTATCTGTCCAGTTCGGCTGTGCATGCAACATCATTTATTTTTTTTTCTTTTCCAAATCGGACACCACATCCAAATACTATCAGGACTCTAATATATGTTTATGCATGTGCTGCTACCCAATATGGAGAGATAGAATATCTTTTTCTAGTTGAATACAAATTCTATTTTATAATTATAGAAGTTATCAATTGATCTACACCGTTATAATTTGGACCCATCACGATCTAACAGTGTAGATATTTCTCTTTTTCTCCGATTAATGTGGGAATTTTTAGCCTTCACGGTGAACGTGGTGCCTCCTTTCAAGACTGTTTTAATAATATAACTAGCTGGGTGGCCCGCGCAATTGCGCGGCTAGCACCCAAATAAAATCATATATTTTTTAGTATGATTTTACTTAAAATTTATTAAATAGCTATCTAGCTATCTCATTGTCTTAAGATTTTAAAAGACCAAACCTTATCATCCACGTGTTTTAGTTTTCAAAAGTCACACCAGTTGCTACCACTTATATTATCTCATTTTTTATTTGCTTGCTCAATCTACCACTATTTCTATTCATTCTTCTTGGAACCTTTAAAAATTAGATTTTATAGTTTTTAGAGTTTATTGTCACGTTGGGTTTTATTTTTATAATTTCTAGATGCCCCGTCAAACGTTCCCATTATACTCCTCTACGGCCCGTCCACTGTCTCTCTTCTCTTTGTTGCCATTGAGATTTTAAAAATCGAACATAATTGTCGTTTGGGTTCATTTTTTACTTTCTAGAAGTCCCGCCAAACCATCAGCGGCTTTGCCATTGTACTCCTCTACAGCTCGCCCACTGCCTCCCTTCTTTATTGTCATTGAGATTTTAAAATCGAACATGATTATCATTTGTTTTTTTTTACTTTTTTGAAGTTCCAAACCTTTAAAAATTGAACTTGAAATTTTTTATAATTTTTAGAAGTCCCATCAAACGATACCACTATGCCCCTCTACAGCCCGTCCGCCGCCAACTCTTTATTGTCATTGTGATTCTAAAAATCGAACATAACTATCATTGGAATTCATTTTTTATTTTTGTAGATGTCCCGTCAACCGTCGGCAGCTCTGCAACTATACTCTTATACACCCCGCCCGCTGCTTCTCCTTTTTATTGTCATTGAGATTTTAAAAATTGAATATGATTATCAATGGGGTTTGTTTTTTTTTACTTTCTAGAAGTCCCGGGAACCGCCTTATACGTTTGCTTCACGGCCTGCCTGACGTCCGTCCTTTTAATCGTCATTAGGATTATATTTGGTGTTTTATTAACAATTTTTATATCTCGTATCAACCGCCACCACTCTACTTCTTTATAGGCATGTTACGTAATTTATCTCGTCATGTGTTTTAGATGGTCTTTTCTTTCAATAATCTTTATTTTTATCACAAATTTTAGGTATTTATAAATTGTATTCCTAATTGAAATCTTATTTTTCTTTTTCTAATTTCACAATTTTTTTTTAAAAAATTAGTTAATATCGTATTGTGTTATTTTAATGTTTTTATGTTCTATTTTCAATTTTAGTTGTTTCAAAATTGTATTCCTACTTGAACCCTCTTTTAGTTTTCTAATTTTAGATATTATTTTATTTTTATTCTAAATTTTAATTAATTTAGTATTGGGTTCTTATATGGATTCTTCTTTCAATATTGCTTATTTTTAATTCTGAATTTCAGCTAATTTTAAATTGTATTCCTACTTGAACTCTTATTTTATTTTCTTTTGCTAATTTCGGATTATTTATTTTTATTCCAAATTTTAATTAATCTCGTATTGGGTTCTTATATGAACTTTTCTTTTAATATTCCTTATTTTTAATTCCGAATTTCAGCTATTTTTAAATTGTATTCCTACTTGGACTCTCATTTCCTTTTCTAATTTTGGATTTTATTTTATTTTTATTTCAATTTTTGATTAATCTCGTATTGGGTTCTTATATGAAAACTTATTTCAATATTCCTTATTTTAATTCCGAATTTCAGCTATTTTTAAATTGTATTTCTACTTAGACTCTCCTTTTCTTTTCTAATTTTGGATTTTATTTTATTTTTATTTCGAATTTTTATAGATAGATATATAGCCCTAACTCAAATTTATTATACAATTAGCATTTTCTAATGATGCGGATTCATTTTATATTTCGCAGGATCTTAAATTGTTAGGCACGGCCCCTCGTAACAACAATCTCGAAAACCTATGCTTTGTGAATGAGGTCAAAAGTGACAATGCTTTTACCGAGTCATATGGCCCAAGCCGTCTAATTAACCATGCGGAAGAAATTAAAATGGGAACAACTCTCATGCATGCTAAATAAAGAACAGAGCAACCCAGCAAACTTTTGCTGTCAAATGCCATTGTTATCTTGCCTCGATCGAGAAAGATCATCATATTGTGCAATTAACCAATCACCACCTAATTAATTACCTTCTTCAACCTCGGTATCCTCTAATCTCACCGATCAAATGTTGTGCACTTTCAAGCTCAGGAGCCTCCTCTTCCTCTGCACATTTCTCACGGGAGCGTTGCTCTGGTTCATCTCCCATTTCCTCTGGTGATCCATCAATCCATTTTATCCGCCATTGATCCGATCCGATTCGATCAAACCCATGTGTATCTAGAAATCTAGAGAGAGAGAGAGAGAGAGGCATCGATCGATCGATCGATCGAAGGATGGTTGGTTCTTGTCATGCATCTTCACCATTGCCGGATCTGCCGGGGAGGAAGAAGAAGAAGTGCTGTTGCTGCCCAGGATTATGAGATCGATGGACTACTACGAGATCCTCCATGTCGACCGGAGCGCCACCGACGACGACATCCGCCGCGCCTACCGCCGCCTCGCCATGCGGTGGCACCCCGACAAGAACCACACCGGCAAGAAGGACGCCGAGGCCAAGTTCAAAGACATCACCGAAGCCTACAACGTATGTCAGATCGATCGATCGATCGATCGGTTATTTGTTCTTGCGAATTAATCTCCTCGATCTTGCCATGCATACGTGCACGGTTTCGGGTTTTGATCGTATATATGATTCTTTTTTGACGAATTCGATGTGTGGTGATCAATGGATGGATGGTCAGGTGCTCAGCGACGCCGGGAAGAGGGCGCTGTACGACCAGTACGGGGAGGAGGGGCTCAGGGCCGGTGGCGCGCCGCCGCAGCCCGGCGGCGGCGGCGGCGGCGCTGACGACATCTTCGCCGAGTTCTTCGGGAGCACGCCGTTCACGTACTGCAACACGGGCGCCGGCACCACGGCGCGCGCCAAGCAGCAGGCGGCCTGGGACGCCGGTGGCGGCGGCGCGTACTTTGGAAGAGGCGGGTTCGCCCGTGACCACGGCGGCGGTGGCGCGGCGGCGTCGCCCCAGCCGCCGCCGGTGGAGAGCAAGCTGGCGTGCACCCTGGAGGAGCTCTACGTCGGCGTCACCAAGAACATGAAGATCTCCCGCAACGTCGTCGATGCTAGCGGGTAATTATAAAAATGATTTTTTTTTAATCTTGGTTCCAAATTTGTGCAGTAATTTTTTTATTACATGACAAAGACATATCCAACATGACACTCGCACACCAACAAATACGCACCTCAAAGAGAAAGAAACTAGTGGCACATCATATCTCACTGAATTCTGCTCCATCCATTAATATTATAAGTCATTTTATTTTTTTTTCTAGCTAAGTTTGAGCAAGTTTATGGAAAAATATATTAACACTTTCAACACAAAACAAATATATAATCAATAGATATTCCATGTAAGATCTTATTAAACTACTTTGGTATTTTAGATCTTGCTAAATTTTTCTATAAACTTGAACAAACTTGACTAATAAAAAAGTCAAACAATTTATAATATGAAATGGAAGGAGTATTGAAACTTGCATGCGAGAAGGCTAAGGGGTGAACGATCACTGGCAGCGATCAGCTGATCCCCCCCCTCCCCACCCCCTTCCTCCACGTGGTTTTTTTTTTTTTTTGCACCGTATTACTTTCCTATTTTAGTAAATTTATGCATCCAAAGTTTGTACATCTCAAGTTTACGCATCTAAATTTGAAACCAAAAGTTTATAAGTCAAAAGTTTATATATCCGATTCAAATTTGAATTTGAATTCAAATATTTTTATATATAGTGTATTTCTATACATCTAAAGTTTATACACCTAAATTTTATAGACCCAAACTTTATAAGTCAAAAGTTTACATACCCGTTTCAAATTTGAATTTGAATTCAAATATTAGTTTATAGACCCAAAGTTTATTAGCCAAAAGTTTATATACCCATTTCAAATTTAAATTTGAATTCAAATATTAGTTCAAAGACCCAAAGTTTATAAGTCAAAAGTTTATATACCCGTTCAAATTTGAATTTGAATTCAAATATTAGTTTATATACCCAAAGTTTATAAGTCAAAAGTCAAAAGTTTACATACCTATTTCAAATTTGAATTTGAATTCAAATATTTTTTTATATATAGTATTTTAATACATAAATTTTTTTAACTTTATTTTTTTTAAAAAAAAATTTATGGTGTAGTAGGAAGAGAAGAAGGAGAGGAGTAGTGTATAGGGGGCTGGGGGTGATAGCTGTGGCTGATCACCTGCCCATTAGCCATGCCCACTTGTATGTGCGTGAAATTTATAGATATTCGATTTGAACATTATCGGCAGGTAGAGCGATGCACTCACAACTTCACCACCGTACCACCAGTTCTTTTCTAAATTTGTGCCGAATTTAAAACAGTTTGTAAATAATTTGGTACAGGAGAATGAAAACGGAGTCGGAGATTCTGTCGATCGAGGTGAAGCCGGGGTGGAAGAAGGGGACCAAGATCACGTTCCCGGGGAAGGGGAACCAGCAGTGGAGCCAGCTCCCCGCCGACCTGGTGTTCGTCGTCGACGAGAAGCCGCACGACGTGTACCGCCGCGACGGCAACGACCTGGTGGCGGAGGCCCGGGTCACGCTGGCCGACGCGCTGGGCGGCACGGTGGTCGTCCTCGCCACGCTCGACGGCCGCGAGCTGCTGGTGGAGGTGAGCGGCGGCGGTGTCGCCGCCGGCGACGAGGACGACGACGACGAGGACCCCGTGGTGTACCCCGGGTACGAGCTGGTGGTGCCGTCGGAGGGCATGCCAATCGCCCGCGAGCCCGGCCGCCACGGCAGCCTGAGGATCCGGTTCGACGTCGCGTTCCCGGAGCGGCTGACGCGGAGGCAGCGCGCGCAGATCAAGCGCATCCTCGACGCCGCCGGCTAGCAGCCGGCGGCTGGCGCGACGTGACGTGCTGTAGGCTGTAGCTAGGAGCAGGCGACTTGCTTTCTTGCTTAAGCACAGCTTAATTAGAGTTTGTAAACTACTAGTACTAACGTGGATGTGTGTACAACCTTGCGATAAAACATGATTTCGAAAAGGTTAACAAACACCTATTTGTCATGCACATCTATATTCGTAATTCTAAAATATGTTATACTGGAAATGCTTATCACCGAACGTTCGATATTGAGACAATATGTTGGACGACACGCAAAGTGGGACCAATTGTCCATTTAATTATTCAACCCATCTATTCTTAATCCTTATCCTCTTATCTTCTTCTCACTATTTCTTCACTGGTAGGAACACATGAGGCAAAGCTAGCCATCAAGGCTGGTGGCCACGACAGCAGTGGCGGCAAGGCGACATGGAGAAGAGATGGTGGAGCCATGGTCGCCGCCGGCGGGGCAACGGCAGCAGGGCAACGTGGAGAGAAAGAAAGTGATGGACGCCAGAAGCTGGCCGCTGACACCATCACAAACAGGAGAAGGAGATGCGGAGGGATATGGGAGGTCAAGCGATGGTGGTGGTTGGCTGTCATTGGAGGTGTGACAAGGGCCGGCACGACGGCTGATGAGGTTATTAGGTCCCGATCTTTTGATAGGTATTGATAAACTGTCGATTTAGTAGAGTCGTGACACAACTCGATACGGCTTCTGAACGAACACGCTCTTAAGTCCCGCAATCGTAGCACCATGCCTCCTCTGGTTATCAACCGTGTCAAAACCCGGATGACCTCGCCGAGAAGTCTAATCCCTACATGCGAATCGAAAAACACAAGCAAGAACAAGATAGATTGCAACACAATTTCATATGAATGATTGAGCACTCGAATTTGGGGTTCCACAAACCGAACTAGCGGCGAAACTATTCTTGATAGATTAATCTAAGCAAAACCCGACTCTAAACGATGATGGCTATTGAATAAATATGATTAGGGATGTCCAAGGGTTGCCCTAGGGCACACACCCCCTTGGCCAAAACCTAAATCAGATTCGGATTGGATGAGGTACGCGGTTTGTTTTGCACATTCCTAATAGCTCGGTAAGAATTTTGACTCCATAAGCTTACCAACAAGTACTCATGGGCCCTAAAATTCCTTCTAGATCAGCGGCTAGTTCTGTTTGAAGTTGATGCTATCAGGAGGCCCGAATCTGAATCTAAAACGTGTAGACCTTTATCTCTTGTCTTCTATGGACCTAAACTTACATGGTGAGATGAAAGATGACTTGGAGAAGGTCTTGGTTTGGTCCCTAATTAACTTCTTTAATCATCCATGCATTCTTTACGCTCGGTCTCTTTTTTTTCTCCCAAGCAAGTACCTCTACAAACGAAAACAAACGAAACTCATTGTGTAGCAACATTTGTTCGATATATAACAAGTAAATCTAATATAGAACATATGCACCTTTGATTGATTAATACATAAGGTAGTCATAGTTATATCCGAGCTAGTTGTGTTCTCATCAACGGCGTCTAGCTGGAGTCAAGGATCTCGCACAGGGGTGGACGAAAAGCTCGTGACTCGTTAGCTCGCTCGGCTCGTCGCTAACTCGGCTCGGCTCGTTACATTTTCTTAACGATCCGAGCAAACATCTTAGCTCGTTACACATAACAAGCTGGCTCGCGAGCAGCTCACGAGCTCAACGAGCTGGATGCATAGGGAGCAAAATCAAACTTCAGCAGATAGGAGGCCAAGTTGGTGGCAGCTCCATGGCCCATCTCGCCCGTGGCAAGCCCAAAGAATTAGAAAAATAAAAACCCTAGATCAGTCATCGGTTTCTCCACTCTCCCGTCGGCGGCATCTCCTTGTCTTCCCGATCCACATCTAGAGCGCCGCATTGAGCTGCCACCCGTGGCTCCGCCATGTCGTCGTGTAGACGCGCGGTTGCTCGCGCCGCTCCCTCCGACCCTTGGCGCCATAGAGTCTCACGTTCCAACGGCCGGCAACGCGCTCCGCTCCCTCCATCCTATGGCGCCGGCGTCGAGCTCGCTCCCCATGCCCGTGGCCCATGTTGAAGGAAGAGGAGGTCGTGCTCGTGCCGCAAGCCCACGCATCCATGTATGTATGCATGGACGGATGGAACTATCTTGTTGTTTGATACTGTGAATCTGTGAGTTTGTGAAGAATTTAGTGCTAGTTGCTTGATTTCTTGTTTGAACTGAGACATCCACATTAAGGATTTTAATTTTATAGTGATATGTGATGTTTTAAGGTTTTTTTTGTTTTCGGAATTTATGATAATATGATTAAACCAGATGAGATGACCCATTGACCTGATCTGATTGCTGAATAATTGTTTTCAGAATACGTTCTTGCCTGTCTGCTATCTTTGAAGCGATGAAGTATTAGCTCGCGAGCTCAACGAGCTGGCTCGAGTTTCATACCGAGCAGAGCCGAGCTGCCGTTTAAGCTCGTTAGCCATAACGAGCTAGCTCGAGCTGGCTCGTTAACCTACCGAGCCAAAGCGAGCCGAGCCGAGCCGAGCTGGCTTGATATCCACCCCTAATCTCGCAGACGATAACTGTATATGAGTTCCAACAGATGGCTAGGGTAGAAGAAGAAGACAAAGTTATTTTTTCCCTCTTGTAATCCATTATTTGCTTTTGTTGCACCTAGTTATGGTATGAAGTTTCATTGTTTCTTTTTATTGTATGTCACAAATAATGTTCTCTTTGTGTTGCAATGAGTAGTTTTAAAGTGTTGCATCTAGTTAAAACTTTTTAACTAGATCAATGAAACATTTTCTCAAGAGTGATGAAATATTTTTCTCTTCAACATACAAATAACTGATACATTTTTGTTGAAATTTTTTTTATTGGTCAATGAAACATTTCACTACATGCACTGCAACACAGTCCGATACATCCGATTTATAGCTCTCTCCATGTCATATTTGTATTAGGTTATACTTATGTCGGGACGGAGGGAGTATAGATCTTTGCTTGGATTGATTTTTCAATAGGACTTTCGATTTTTAGTTGTTTTAGGTAAGTCCGGGCATGCAACTATTCATATAAAGCTCATGGAAGGAGTAATATGGAGTATTTTCTAAGTACTAATTGGTAAAATAAAAACAATGGAGGACTAACTCATTTATACTCTTTTCATACATATCATGTTGACTTTTTACATGATTTTTATGACTATTTGTCTTATTAAAAATATTTAAGTATCTATTTTTGCTATTACTTGTATTATCAACAAAGACACTTGAAGCATAATTTATTTTTTAATAGGATGAATGATCACCCACTAACTTTTCTCTCTTCAGTCACCTTAGCTAAACTGTTTTTAAGCCTAAACTTTCCGATGATTAATTTATGAATGAAATTATCTTACTTCTTTATATCATCTTTAATTCACAAAGACAATTTTATTATAATCCTTCTCTCTTAAACCATATCATCCCAATCATTTCCTTATTCACGTAAAACTGTACTTGGTTTTTTCATATGGTACTCTTTATCTTGCCCATAAAAGTACATACATGAAAAGAAACGTAACAAACTTTCATTATATAATATCATTATTTTTTAGCAAATAATATTAATCTTCAATGAAACAAATGTACATGGTATTGAGGAATCACAATAAAGATATGTATATCATGTTTGTTTGTTTCTCTTACGGCTCATTTTGCTTCCCTTCTTTATAAGCAAACATATGATGCAACTATTTTCTATGAAGACAATATCACATAATGCAAACACTTCCCTTATTGAGACCAAACATGGCTCTTTAAATTAAAACAAAACAAATTCAAAAATAACGCATCGCTACAAGAAGATCTAGATCTAAACATAAATAAAATATGTGCACCATATAAACTCTTTTATCATTATATTTGTCAAAGATGTGAAAAATTCATATAACTCTACCCATTTTGTTGAGAAAGTGCTTTATGCTGCTTGGAACATTTGGAAGCAGAGGAATAGTTTAATTTTTGAAAACATTGTTCCCTCTGTTCCCTCTTGGAGAGTTCTCTTTAGGAATGATATCTCCCTTTTAGTTAATAGAGTCAAAAATTCTGAGAGAGATATATTGTTACAGTGGTTAAATTTGTTGTAATTTTTTCTCCTTTATTAATATAAAATCTTAACGGTGGGGGCTTCCCCTACCGTGGTTCTTTCAAAAAAAAGATGTGAAAAATTACATTACCAAGACATGGCAAATAAGATCTAGCAAATAGTTTCTGCTTTAAATTATTGAGCTCAAAAAGATCATCAAACAAAATATAGCCCAAAGTATTTAAACAATATAACATTATGAACATGATGCTTAAAATTAACACCTAACAGACCACCCATAGAATTTGTATGTTCATTCACAAGTTGTGGCATGGATATAAGTGAAATATTACCAAAGAATTCCTTTTTAGTATAAGAAACAAGAAGAAAATCAACTTATGACAAAGGAATCTCAACAATGGGTTCCATTAATTAATGATTGCTCTATGATAGGATAAAAGGTGGACATATGTAATTCAGCTTGAGCATACTCACCTTATTTAATTTTAGCATCAATTAACTTACCTTGCAAACTCTCATCCTTCTTTTCGAGCAATGGGAACAACGTCTGAATGATGAGGAACTAGGTCGGGGTCTTTCGAGAAGTATTGATAAGTCAATTATGGAGATATCGGTGTTGATGATCCAAAGGCTTCGATTAGAACGATCGAACCTCTCGCAATCACTACATCATTGCTCCGTTGGTTATCAACCGAGCTGAACATACGGTTGACCTCGCCAATAAGGCTATCTCTTGCACGTGAATCAAGAACACAAGCAAGCGAGTAGAAGATGCAATATGAATCCATTACGAATATAATATGAATATCACAAGTTGGGGTTCCACAAACAAAACTAAGCGGTGAAACTACAGTGGCATAATAATCTAAGCAAAACCCAACTCTAACTTGATGACGACTACTGAATATATAGGTTCTAGGGTCGGCCAATGGCCCCTAGATGTGACCCTAATGAACTTCAACACGATACATGGCCCAATAGACAAAAGACGGTGACGCAACACCAGACAGATTCTGTACACCAACTTATTTTGATGAGTCCCGTTGACTTAGAAAGAATTTTGAAGTGAGACTAGATCCATTGGAAAGGTGA